CCCCCAACCGGTCGTAAGTCGAGGACTACTCAACTGGTGCAGCACCGTTTGCAGAATGGGACTTTTGGCGGACTCAGCAGGGCAGAGACAGCCTGGACAATTCCTATTGGCTTTTGAAAGCCAATAGAATTAGACTCTATTCAAGAGAGACTATTCTATTGGCTTTCAAACGCCAATAGAATAAAAGGGAGTAGCACAGCTAAGGAAAAGGGGGGGGAAATGGCGGACTGGGTTGTTTGGCGACCCCCGTGAAATGGTCGTTCGACCCCAAATGGGGTCCCAACCCACAGGTTGAGAACCGCTGCTCTAAACGGATGGTTATAAGTCAAGGACTACATGATGTTATCCATTCCATTGTGTCCAACTCTTGGCAATTCTGTGGACCGGGTGTCTCCACATCTTCCGTGCACTAATTCTTTTGAGTTGTTCTATGCTCCATCAGCTTTGGCACACCCACCAAGTTCTTTGACAGCCTGGTTTCCTTTTACCGCTAATTCTTCCAACATAATTGCTTTCTCGAGTGAATTTCTCTGCATGACAGGGCCAGAGTAAGTGAGATGCACTTACTTACTTTAACAGTGAGAAGAAATAATCAGTGGATCGGCTTGCCTCCAGAACTTGTGGGTGTTCATTCACTGGAGGTTTTTAGGAAGAGATTGGACAGTCATTTGTCTGGAATGGTGTTCAGGTCTGTCACAATCTACCCCTAACCTGGTCTTTCAGCTCTTCCAATGATGCCCCCACAGCCATTGTAATCCAGTCCACCCACCTTGCTGCTAGTTGTTCTTGTCTTCTCTTTCCTTCCAACTTTCCCAGCAGTGCAGCTTTCTCCAGAGAGCGCATAAGCTGCCCAAAGTAGGACAATTTATGTTCTCTCCCAAATAAACCTTCCATTCTGCGTGTGAGTCAACCGGAAGGCTTTGCTTGGGGGGGGGGGGAGGGAGTTTCCTAAAATCTTAAAGCATTCTGAATCCAGTTCTACAAGTGCTGCTCGATCCATTTATTTAATGCCCAGCAAATCCATTTTTCTGCCATCCTTCCCGCTCCTAAGTCAGTTTACTTACTCGTTTTCCTGTGTTGGCAGTGGTTCTTTTCCATTTTTAATCTGGAATGGCTTGGCTATTTTGCTCCCTCTGAGCTTTTGAATTGCAGCTCTTGGGCTATGCAAGATAACCTTTAGTCCAAGGGTTGTTTACTCCGGGTTTCCCAAAAGCCACCTGTTAAGCTGGTATCTGATAAGCCAGCTATCTGTGCAGATAAGGTGACCAGGCCAGAAGCCAACAATGAGACTGAAATAACTTATTTGCTTAGTGAAAGGTGTTTGCAAAAGATTTTTCGAGGAGTTGCAAGATGTTCTCAACGCTCTGCATGTGCCAGGAAAAAACACTTTTTCCAAATCTGTGTTTGTTTTAGAAATCGGACACAAATTCTTATAACGTGGCTTCTGAGCTTGAAGCAGTTAACATGTTTCTGACGCAAACAGAAATCCCACCTTTGTGGTTTTAACTTTGCATGCGTCCAGAATGAATTAAAAGTTAAAAAAAAATGGATGAGTTTTGATGAACTGATTGCTTTATTTAGCTGCACAAAATAATAAATCATTATCATGTCATCAATACTTTGATGTGAATTACAGGCAGGGTTTTTCTTAATGTCATATTTAACTTTGGATGAAAAAGCCTAGTAATTTTTTTGCTTGTAATAATAACATGTTAAGTTGTAATTGATGTTGATAGAATTTCTTTCTTTTCTCAATTTGCAATCTTTTAAGCCAGGCGTTTTTCAAACTTGCCAGCGTTTAAGATGTGTGGGTTTCAACTCCCAGTCTCCATATACATCTTAAAGTTGCTGAGTGTGAAAAACAGTTGTAAACTATCTAATAATATACTGTTAATAAGATCTGCATCATATAAACATCATTATTCTGAATCAATACAACATATCAAGATTTATAACTGTATAATAAAAAGGTGGGAAATTAAGTTCCCTTTATGTATAGATCTCTATAAAGAGATATCTCTTATTATTCAGGAGATATTAATAGCTTAGAACATAGTCCTTCAAATTGTGCAGAGCTTGTTTACCCCTTAATCCGAAACTAGAACGTTTAGAAATGGTCAGCTTCACACAATGTTAGATGCACTTTAGTTTATTGAAAACTACACACTTGCAAATGGTAAGTTCATATATAGCTTATAGGAAATAGGGGTTTTAAGTAGCATGCTATCTTTTCATTTTATTTTTATTTTTTTTATTCCTATTCTTTTTTTCTTTTTAGTCTTATTTATTCCTTAAGAAAGGTAAAGGTATTGGGTTGGCTTACATGAGAAAAAATAGATTTAAAAATTTAAATGTAATTAACTTTGAGAAAAACCAGTAAAAATGTTTAGAACATTGTGGGAAAAACAAATGTAAACAAGAACAGTAAACAGGATATATGATGAGACAACCGGAATGACTAGATAGAAAAGGAATATTATATTGATGTGATTATTACTTGTAGAAATATTAGAAAACTTTTATATTCAATTATCATTCATTAAAACAACAAGAATTGTATTAAATTAAGGTTGGTAAAAGAGAACATTATGGGGAAAAGAGGAAATCAAGTAAAGTTATCATGTGGATTACAGATTATAGACATTAACTGTTAATGAATTTTTTTTAAATGTAAACCCAGACAACGCACTGTTTACCAAATATTAAGGTGATTATGTTAAAAAAATTAATAAAACATATATTTTTTTAAAAAAATCACACATACACAATTGATGTATCAGCGCATGATTTATATATAAAGAGCAGTAATGTAAACAGTAATCAGATTATTTCAGTTCTTATGCAGTGGTCTGTGACCTGAAATTTCCATGGGATAAAGAGACTACACCTGTTGGATTTGGCAGAATAAGCCAAGGTGATGCAGGTAGATCTGATGGCCCCTGTTCTGGGACACATCCTGCATACGTATTTTGCAGTAAGAGTCTCTCCACCTTAACAATACCATATTCTCTCTATGGCAGTGGTTCTCAACCTTTTTAATGCCGCGACCCCCCCCCAACCGGTCGTAAGTCGAGGACTACTCAACCGGTCATAAGTCGAGGACTACTCAACTGGTGCAGCACCGTTTGCAGAATGGGACTTTTGGCGGGCTCAGCAGGGCAGAGACAGCTGGACAATTCCTATTGGCTTTTGAAAGCCAATAGAATTAGACTCTATTCAAGAGAGTCTATTCTATTGGCTTTCAAAAGCCAATAGAATAAAAGGGAGGAGCACAGCTAAGGAAAAGGGGGGAAAAAATGGCGGACTGCGTTGTTTGGCGACCCCCGTGAAATGGTCGTTCGACCCCAAATGGGGTCCCGACCCACAGGTTGAGAACCACTGCTCTATGGACAACAGCAGCAGCAAACATAGCCACAGGATGCAGCTTCGGATGCTATTTTCAGAGAAAAGAGAGAGGAGTAAATAAAAGAGGATTGTTTATATATACTGATTATTGTGGTACTTAGTAACTAGTATCAATTACATATTTTTAATAACTAAGACCTTTAAAGCTAGATTGATTTCTGTCTCCTTGCATAGGGACCAATTTCTTTGCAGGGAGCTCTGGAAACACATTCTGGGCTTTGCTAGATAACGGGGTCAGAATCCACAGGACCAATTTAATCTTTGGAAGCAGGTAGACGTGCAATTCTTGAAGGCAACTGTCTTCTCTTTCCATCACTTTTCTATCTTGTTAGTGCATTAAGAAACAGTAGCTATCTCTGTTGCTCAGCTGACTCAAGAATCACACCTAGCTTCCCTGTTATCTTATCTCTTACTGTTTGCTCCATTCAGTCTAGTAGTGCAAGACTGCTAAGTTACCCCTTGCTTGCATCCTGCTGAAGAACTGATTATTCAGCCACATTGCTTTGGTGATGTGCTCCATCTGTGTTGTGGTTTTAGAGCAATCCCTCTCCTGCAGTGCAGATGGCTGGGTCGGAGGTGGATTTGGAGAAATACAGCTTTTAAGCAGGGGGAGGGAAATGCCATTATGGGATTTTCTGTGTAGTAGAGGGGAGTGTGTGTGTGTCTATACAGATAGTAGTCGACCTACAACCACAGTTGAGTCCAAAATTTCTGTTGCTAAGTGAGACGGTAAGGGAATTTTGGCCCGTTTTACGACTTTTCTTGCCACCGTTGTTAAAGTGAATTGCTGCAGTTGTTAATATAGTAGTAGTAGTAGTAGTAGTAGTAGTAGTAGTAGTAGTAGTAGTTGGAAAGGACCTTGAAGATCATCTAGTCCCACCCCCTGCTCAGGCAGGAAACCCTATACCATTTCAGACAAATGGCTGTCCAGTCTCTTCTTAAAAACTTCCAGTGTTGGAGCATTCACCGCTTCTGGAGGCAGGATGTTCCACTGGTTAATTGTTCTCACTGTCAGGAAGTTTCTCCTTAGTTCTAGGTTGCTTCTCTCCTTGATTAGTTTCCATCCGTTGCTTCTTGTCCTGCCTTCAGGCACCTTGGAGAATAGCTTGACTGCCTTTTCTTTGGGGCAGCCCCTGAGATACTAGAAGACTGCTATCATGTCCCCCCCTCGTCCTTCTCTTCATTAAACTAGACAGACCCAATTCCAGCAACCGTTCCTTATATGTTTTAGCCTCCAGTCCCCTGATCATCTTTGTTGCTCTTCTCTGTACTCTTTCTAGAGTCTCAGCATCTTTTTTACATCGTGGTGACCAAAACTGGATGCCGTATTCCAAGTGTGGCCTTACCAAGGCCTTGTAAAGTGATATTAACACTTCACGTGATCTTGATTCTATGGTTGTTAAATGAATCTGGATTCCCCATTGACTTCGCTTGTCAGAAGGTGGCAAAAGAGAATCGCAGGAGCACGGCAACCACCATAAAGACGATAACTCGGTTATTCTGTCAGTTCTGCTTTTACTTTAGTAAGACTGTGCTCAAACCCGTTTTCCTTCTGATCTGTGTTCTCTCTCTCCCCCTTCTCCGTTTGCCTTCAGCTCCAAACCAATGCATGAGAAATCGGGGCCCATGTACAGCCTGGACAAGCCGGAATCCTGGCACAAGGAGAAGAACTTGGGTTCTCCGAATGGCAGGTGAGTTTGACCTCAGTCACGCTCGGCCGGAAGTTCAAGCAGCTGGAACCAGGCCAGCCTTTATCTCAGGAACATCCACCAGCTGCTTTTTCTAGCGCCTCTCTGCCAGGCGGAGTGTTTGGGAAGAGGAATGGGGGCTAATTACAGCAGGCAGGCCGTCAGGAATCAGTAAAATTTGGAACAAGATGAAAAAATATATATATTCCAAATAAAACAAATTGTCCAGTATCCTGTTTTACAGAGTGGCTAACCAGAGGTTAGGGTTAGGGAACAATTGGGGGAGGGGGTGCAATCAAGGCAGCGGAGCTCTAAAATAGATCTGGGGCAATCTAAGGAGGGGCTTGGACAGACCCTTAAGGAGGGGGGAGAAATCTGTGGGGGTCTCTTGCAAGCGTGCAAAACGCCCACATGCCTGCATCGGTGCAAAAGGTGCCCCTCGTGGGGAAGGGGGAGCTGGGGCAAAGATTCGAGTCGGGGCGCCCGTGTTGCACCCCCCCAAGCCGATGATGCATGCATCCGCACCCCCGGGGGACTCTTTCCGAGCCCCCCCACACACACCGATCGCAAGGGTTTCTCCTAGTCACTACAGTCGGGGCCAGAATTTTGGACACTAAGTAAGGCACTGTGAGATAGATAGATAGATAGATAGATAGATAGATAGATAGATAGATAGATAGATAGATAGATAGATAGATAGATAGGGATAGGATAGGATAGGATAGGATAGGATAGGAAAGGATAGGATAGACAGACAGAGACAGGTAGGTAGGTAGGTAGGTAGATAGATAGATAGATAGATAGATAGATAGATAGATAGATAGATAGATAGATAGATAGATGTAGGTAGATGGATGGATAGATAGATAGATAGATAGATAGATAGATAGATAGATAGACAGACAGACAGACAGACAGACAGACAGACAGACAGATAGGATAGACAGAGACAGATAGATATAGGTAGGTAGGTAGATAGATATAGGTGGATGGATGGATGGATGGATGGATGGATGGATAGATAGATAGATAGATAGATAGATAGATAGATAGATAGATAGGATAGATAGATAGGATAGACAGACAGACAGAGAGAGATATAGGTAGGTAGGTAGATAGATAGATATAGGTGGATGGATGGACAGATAGATAGATAGATAGACAGACAGACAGACAGACAGACAGATAGATAGATATGGTTAGATATATATACATTCATATAGAGAGAAAAAGAAAGAGGGACAGATAGAGAAATAGAGATAGACCCAAAGGCGTTCAACAATTGTCTTTCAACAATTCTATTTCTCTCCATCTCTGTTGCAGCCTGAATTTGAATAATGCTGTAAAGAATGAGGAACTCAAGAAATGTCACCAAGAAGTCACGGTAAGCCAGGGAGAGAGAGAGGATGGTCATAGTTTTGATGTGCCTCGTGGCCACTTTTCTCGATAGCTACGTTGGAATAGATGAGAAGGAAGCCCATCTGCATGGATTCAACTTCTGCTGGCTGGGTATTCTGGAAGTCCACATAGCTTAGAGCTGCTGAGTTCAAGCAACAGAGGGCTTCGCGTGTTGTGTGAACTCAGCCAGTTCTGGTTTGGTGATTCAGCAGTGGTTAAATGAACCTTAATAAGGCCAACAGTGTCTGGCCTCTTTTTTCCTGATCTGGTCTGTTCTCCTTGCCCCTTTTTGAAAAACAAAGTGAAATGGCTGCTAAGCTACGGTACTCCAGATCTGCCTTTGGCCAGTCTTTTGCATGGTCTTGACGCTTGGATCTGTTTTCTCTCTAGGCTCCCAATAAGTATAATTCTCAGTATCACAAGTTATTCAAGGACATCCCCACTGAGGAAAGCGTGGTTAAAGGTAAGCAAGGAAGGACCATCAAAAAAAACAACAACAGCTCAGTGCTGTTGCCAAGCCTCTACTCCAATCTTTCCCGGCTTTGTTCCTTCCAGAGAACAAAGAACGGGAAACGAACCGGGATTAAAATGCCATCCGCTCGTCTGCCTTTCTTTTTTATTTACAAGGCTGTCACCAGTCTCCTGCTGCCTTCTTTCACATCTGTCTATCCCCTCCTTGGCTGATGACCGCTCTTGAGGTTAAAAGCATTCCTGGCTGCAGCCTCTGTCTGTTTTATTTTCAGTCTGCTCCTGTGCCCTTCAGCGAGACATCTTGATCCAGGGCCGTCTCTACATTTCTCCAAACTGGCTCTGCTTCTATGCAAACCTTTTTGGGAAGGATATCAAGGTAAGCCCGCAAAAAGAAAAGGGAGAGGCATTCTGGGGAGGCCACAAAGGTGGGACTTCTTTCTCCGGCCCGCTGGCCTTCACTCTGCGTACTCCTTTGAGCTGGAGAAGGCTCTTGCGTCTTCCTTGGAAAGCAAAGGTGAGTAACAACTAAGCACAGGCAGTCTTTGACTTACGACCCCAAGGGAGCCCAGCTTCTGTTGTTAAGTGAGACATTTGTTGTAAATGTTGCCCCGTTTTACGACCTTCCTTGCCACAGTTGTTAAGTGAATCGCTGCAGTTGTTAAGTGAGTCACACGGTGGTTAAGTGAATCTGGCTTCCCCATTGACTTTGCTTGGCAGAAGGTCGCAAAAGAGGATCACATGACTTTGGGGCCCAGCAACGGTCATAAGTATGAACCAGTTTGCCAAGCAAAGGTCGTAACCCTGAAAAACGGTCGTAAGTCACTTTTTTCAGTGCCGTTGTAACTTTGAACGGTCACTGAATGAACTGTTTGTAAGTCAAGGATTACCTGTACTGGAGTCCATAACGCCAGATGTGTCCCTGGAGACAAAATCAGACTTGTTAGTTGCCCGGGACTGAGTATATAGGATGATCCTCCATATGTTGTACATTTCCTAAATCAGGGGTCTTCAAACTTGGCCCTTTTGTGACTTGTGGACTTCAGCTCCCAGAATTCCTCAGCCAGAGTGCCTGGCTGAGGAATTCTGGGAGTTGAAGTCCACAAGTCACAAAAGGGCCAAGTTTGAAGACCCTTGGCTTATATGGTCCATGCTGGCTGGGGAATTCTGGGAGTTGAAGTCCACAAGTCACAAAAGGGCCAAGTCTGAAGACCCCTGTCCTAAATCAATCCCTAAATCTGTGTATATGCTAAAATAAATTTCACAAATTGACATTCTACAACTTCTTTTTCATTTCAGGTTGTGATTCCTGTGGTCTCTGTCCAACTAATAAAAAAGCACAAAACAGCCCGGTTGTTGCCAAATGGACTCGCGATCACCACCAACGCCAGCAGAAAAGTAAGTATTGCTGGCTATTGTTCCTTCTGTGGCCAAATCCAGGGCACTGGTTTTTCTGCCAAGCTGAGATTAAAGTTTCTACTCTTTCTAAATAATAATAATGATGATGATGATGTTGGAAGGGACCTTGGAGGTCATCTAGTCCAACCCCCTGCTCAAATAGGAAACCCTATACCATTTCGGACAAATGGCTGTCCAGTCTCTTCTTAAAAGCTTCCAGTGTTGGAGCATTCACCGCTTCTGGAGGCAGGTTGTTCCACTGGTTAATTGTTCTCCCTGTCAGGAAGTTTCTTCTTAGTTCTAGGTTGCTTCTCTCCTTAATTAGTTTCTGCCCGTTGCTTCTTGTCCTGCCTTCAGGCGCTTTGGAGAATAGCTTGACTCCCTCTTCTTTCGGGCAGCCCCTGAGATACTGGAACACTGCTATCATATCCCCCCCCCGTCCTTCTCTTCATTAAACTAGACATACCCAATTCCAGCAAATCGTTCCTTGTATGTTTTAGCCTCCCGTCCCCTAATCATCTTTGTTGCTCTTCTCTGCACTCTTTCCAAAGTCCCAATATCTTTTTTACATCGTGGTGACCAAAACTGGATGCAGTATTGCAGGTGTGGCCTTTCTGCCCCTGATAAATGACGAGTGGCTGGGGGATTGTGGAAGTTGCAGTTGCAGATCTCCACTAGGCCCTTCAGACTATTTTTAGTTAATTCTCGTATCATTGCATACATGTATCTGAATATGCTTTTCTTTTCTGACACCTCTTTGGCTGTGTTCTGACGTGGTGCTAAGCCAATGAACGTGGTTTTGTTTATGTTGCATGAACCCACCAGATCCACCACCCCTAAATAAAGCAAAACTCGGCATTTTTGAAGCTCAGATGTTCCGCTCCTTTTCACATCTTACTTGGGATTTAAAGACGTGCTCAGGGACAATTTGTTGACTACTTTGGCAGTGAATTGCCCCCAGGCAATGTCACCACTTGGAGAAATCGACAGAGAATAATATCAGGACATCGGTAACTTTTTTTTCTTTCCAAGACATTCAAGACATCGATAACTTTTCCAATGGACAGATTGCAGACTTTGGCACCTCATCAACCTTCATTAGAACGTCTTCCTTCTGGCCTTCAGCACTGGAAGAAGTTAGGCAGAGTCTTACCGTTCAAAGCAACCGCTCAGGTTCTGCAGCCACTGGTGGGGAGGATGGGAAAGTGCTGGCGGTGATTGAAGGGCCAGTGAGGGAAGGGAAGACGGGCGGCAGCTCCCGATGCTCCAGCCGTGTAAATTTGGAACAGATGAATTTCCATTTGTGAGCTTCCCGAAAATGAAACCCGCAAAACTTTCCAGATGCATCAGTTTCTTCCAAGCCAACAGGGAGGGAAGGGATTACGGAGCTTAAAGCTTCCCTTGTGACTCAAATCCTGACTTGCATTATGAAGCCCTGGGAAGGTCAACAGGGGCTCCACTCAGCTGGGTTCCATCTCCTCTGGAGGTTGATCAGGTTTCTTCAGGAATCCCATTGGACCCCCCCCCCAGCTGGGTCCAGATGTGTTCCCCAGCACATCTGGAACTTATCCGAAGAGGCCGCAAGCTGGGCGCAAGGGGGAGGGGATTTCCCATACAGTAGTCCAGCTTCCCCATTGACTTTGCTTGTCAGACAGTGGCAAAATACTTGACAGGAAGTATTTATGAGGGTTGCTGTGTCCTGGTGTGTGTGTGTGTGTGTGTGTGTCATATGATGAGGAACAATTGAGTGAGGAGTGAGGAGCAATGAATCAGTGGAACAACTTGCCTCCAGAAGTTGTGGGTGCTGTATCCCTGGAGGTTTTTAAGAAGAGACTGGACAATCAATCTCTTCTTCTTCTGGGACCACACGTTTTCTGAATAGTTTTTATCCCAGAGCTACAATTGCACTTAATAATGAACTAAAGGGCCACCATCAGTGAACTGTTGGACAGTATTACTTGGTCTGTTGGGTGGATGTTTGGGTGGTTCTAGGGGTGGGGAATTGTGGTGGGTGGGAGTGTGTTTGGGGATTATGTGTGTGGGACCTGGTCTTTGGGTGTCACGTAAATTTCGTTGTATGTGTATACTGTGTATACCAGTGGTTCTCAACCTGTGGGTCAGGACCCCATTTGGGGTCGAACGACCATTTCACGGGGGTCGCCAAACAACGCAGTCTGCATTTTTTTCCCCCTTTTCCTTAGCTGTGCTACTCCCTTTTATTCTATTGGCTTTTGAAAGCCAATAGAATAGACTCTCTTGAATAGAGTCTAATTTTCTTGGCTTTCAAAAGCCAATAGGAATTGTCCAGGCTGTCTCTGCCCTGCTGAGCCCGCCAAAAGTCCCATTCTGCAAACGGTGCTGCAGCAGTTGAGTAGTCCTCGACTTACGACCAGTTGAGTAGTCCTCGACTTACGACCAGTTGGGGGTCGCGGCATTAAAAAGGTTGAGAACCACTGGTGTATACACATACAATGACAATAACGTTTATTTATTTATTTATTTATTAAAAACCTCCAGGAATACAGCAGCACCCACAACTTCTTTGTCTGAAATGGTATACAGGATTTCCTGAGCGAGGGGTGGTGGTGGTGTTGGACTAGATGACCCCCAAGGTCCCTTCCAACTCTGTTATTCTGCTAATACATGCCAGTTGCCAAGTGTCTGAATTTTGACCCTGGGGATGCTGCTAGGGTCATAAGTATTTAAAATAAAACAGTCATAAGTCACTTTTTTCTGTGCTGTCGTAACTTCGAACCGTCACTAAACGAACGGTTGTAAGTCAAGAACTACTTTTGGGTGTGAAGCCATAAAGATCTCAGCTTGGAAGGGCCACAGTGTGTCTTTCTTGGTTCGGGGCCTGACGTGGCTTGGAGTTTCGCTACTTACGCATCCCGTGTTCTTTTTCTCTTCCAGTACATCTTTGTGTCCCTCATTTCCCGAGACAGCGTCTATGATGTTTTGCGGCGAGTCTGCACCCACTTACAGGTGTTCCCTTCTCCTCTCTATGATGGGCATTCAGGGGGAGCCCTCTGGCCCCCCTCAGCCATAGGTCAGAAGAGGGGGGTGGTCGGCAAGGCTACCTCATGCACAAAAATGGAAAGACTCTGAAACACTCACTGTGGAGCAGGGGTTCTCAACCTTGGCCACTTTTAAGACTTGTGGACTTCAACTCCCAGAATTCCTCATGCACCAAAACTGAGGAATTCTGGGAGTTGAAGTCCACAAGTCTTAAAAGTGGCCAAGGTTGAGGACCCCTGCTCTGGAGGAATGGTTGGTGAGGATGACCAAACTAGCAGAGATGGCAAAATGTCACTTGCTTGCTTGGAGAAAGACTAACAACTACATTGATTAGTCACTGGAAACCCCTTTTGCTGGGGAAAAAAAAATGAATTTACGGATTTGATGCCTATAAAGGGTAGATTATAGAAAGAAGGAAATTATGAAGTAACCTTAGGAAGGATAAAGCACAAATGTCCTCATAATTGCTGCTAAGCCCCTTCTTTATTACTTCCTTCTTCCTTTCGTTTTCTTCCTTGTGGATGTCTTTAGCTTTCTTTTTCGCTTTCTAATTAGTTTTCCTTATTCTTCTTAGTTGAGAACAGGCTTAATCCAACCAAGGGTGCAGATCCAGCCGCTAACTGGAAGCAGGTCTGCATTTGCCAGTGAGATGACTGAGAATTAACCCAGAACCTTTGAGATATGAAATAAATCTTCTACCGTAGCTCTGTTTTTGCTTCCAGAAGACCAAAAGGAAACTTAAAGTTTAAGGGTCTGACGAGGCTTGACCTGTTGAATTTAGTTTAGCAGAACGGAGTGAGATTGGAGGCTCTAGCCAGTGGTGGCGAACCTATGGCACGCGTGCCAGAGGCGGCACTCAGAGCCCTCTCTGTGGGCACGCGTGCCATGCCCCGGAGATAGCAACCTCTTCAACCAACCGTCCGCTAACTCGCCGAGGTCCCACATGGCTGGATGCATCCCAGCACCTGTGCTCTTGCTGGCTCTGTGTGCAGGGGCCGATGGTGTCAGGCAGCAGCCACCCTGGCCCCTGCCTCACCTTGCCCTGTGACAATGGCATCCCCGCCCTGCCTCACCCAGCAGGATGAGCCTCCTGCCCACCGCCCCACCTGCCAGAGACCCCCCTGGATTTCCCCCAACCCTGCCCGGCCCCCACAGGCGTCCCTCCCCACGAGCAACATCGAGGTGATCCCGCCCACCTTGGCCACACCCACCCAATCTGCCATGACCATCACAGCCACGCCCACCCAGTGGGCCACACCCACCTGGCACTCGACGATGCATAAGTGGGTTTTGGATTGCAGTTTGGGCACTCGGTCTCTAAAAGGTTCGCCATCACTGCTCTAGGCTTCCAGCTGGTGAAGCCTATTGGATCCCTTTTGGCGAGTAACCCCAATCCGTTTATTTTCTGTACAGGTCTCCAGCAAAAAAAGTCTGAGTTTGAAAGAGCTCATTGAAAAGCCAGATGCAGTATCCTTGGTAAGACCAATTTCTGAAAGATTAAGCTACACACGTCACTTCACCACAGTGTTTTGGTCACCCAAAGGCTTAGAGCAGCGGTTCTCAACCTGTGGGTCGGGACCCCGTTTGGGGTTGAACGACCATTTCACAAGGGTCGCCAAACAACGCAGTTTGCCATTTTTCCCCCCCTTTTCCTTAGCTGTGCTCCTCCCTTTTATTCTATTGGCTTTTGAAAGCCAATAGAATAGACACTCTTGAATAGAGTCTAATTCTATTGGCTTTCCAAAGCCAATAGGAATTGTCCAGGCTGTCTCTGCCCTGCTGAGCCCGCCAAAAGTCCCATTCTGCAAACGGTGCTGCACCAGTTTATTTATTTATTTATTTATGAGACTTATATACTGCTTTAAGTGCAAGCACTCTCTAAGCGGTGTACACCAGTAAGCAATGTATGTATGTATGTATGTGTGTGTGTATGTATGTGTATGTATATATATATATATATATATATATATATATATATATATATATATATATTACATTGCCCCCAACAATCTGGGTCCTCATTTTACCTACCCCGGAAGGATGGAAGGCTGAGTCAACCTTGAGCCGGTGAGATTTGAACCGCTGACCTGCTGAACACAGTCAGCTAAAGTGGCCTGCAGTACTGCACTCTAACTGCTGCGCCACCTCGGCTCTTTAATAGTTGAGTAGTTGAGTAGCCCTTGACTTACGACCGGTTGAGTAGTCCTCGACTTACGACCGGTTGGGGGTCGTGGCATTAAAAAGGTTGAGAACCACTGGCTTAGATCAAATCTGTGTAAAAACTGTTCAGTCAGTCACCCAGTCAGTTGTCACCCTTCTCATCAGTAGCTAGAATGCAGTTTTGCAGGAAGACTCTGCCCACAGCCAGGAGTTCGATCCTGACCGGCTCAAGGTTGACTCGGCCTTCCAACCTTCCGAGGTCGGTAAAATGATCCAGATAGTTGGAGGCCACACGCTGACTCTGTAAACCACTTAGAGGGGGCTGCAAGGCATTATGGAGCAGTATGTCAGTCTAAGTCTTATTGCTTAGAAGCTTCTTCATTTCTAGAACTGAAGAAGCTTCTTGGTAAGAAGTGAAATATCTTCAAGGAAAAACAAAGAAAATCCAGTTGCCTTTTGAAAAGCACCTTGGAGACGAGAGTCAGAAATACTTTGCTGATCTTCTGGGTCACTAACTTTGATGTCTCACTAAAAATAAAATAGATGTTTGAGACTCTAGAAAGAGTGCAGAGAAGAGCAGCAAAGATGATCAGGGGACTGGAGGCTAAAACATATGAAGAACGGTTGCTGGAATTGGGTATGTCTAGTTTAACGAAGAGAAGTACGAGGGGGGACATGATAGCAGTCTTCCAGTATCTCAGGGGCTGCCCCAAAGAAGAGGAAGTCAAGCTATTCTTCAAAGTACCCAAAGGCAGGACAAGAAGCAACGGATGGAAACTAACCGAGGGGAGAAGCAACCTGGAACTAAGGAGAAACTTCCTGACAGTTAGAACAATTAACCAGTGGAACTACCTGCTTCCAGAAGCGGTGAATGCTCCAACACTGGAAGTTTTTAAGAAGAGACTGGACAGCCATTTGTCTGAAATGGTATAGGGTTTCCTGCCTGAGCAGGGGGTTGGACTAGATGGCCTCTAAGGTCCCTTCTATCATCATTATCATCATCATTATGGATCATCGCACAGTCAGCCAGATGTTCAGACTGGATTTGGCATTTTGTTTACCTATCGAGTCCTTACCCAGGACTGGGATAGGCAGATGTGGATGTTTGATGGTATTACAGGTATCGTCGCAGGATGGAAGCAGTTCCTAGTAAGGCCGCCTTTTGCAATTGACTAATAGCAAATTTGTCAATGCCAATGGTGTTCAAGTGGTGCTCCAGTTGTTTTGGGATTGCACCCAAGGAGCCTATGACTATTGGTACTACCCTTGCTTGCTTTTGCCACAGTCTTTCTATTTCTATTTGTAGGTCTTTGTATTTTGTTATCTTCTCCAGTTCTTTCTCTTCTATTCTGCTATCTCCAGGCACTGCCACGTCCACTATCCAGACTTTTTTGTCTTTCTTATCGACAATTGTTAAGTCTGGGGTGTTATGTTGCAGGTGCTTGTCTGTTTGAATTCTGAAGTCCCAGAGCAGTTTAATTTTATCATTTTCTATGACTTTCTCTATTTTTTATTATTATTATTATTATTATGGATCATCGCACAGTCAGCCAGATGTTCAGACTGGATTTGGCATTTTGTCTACCTATCGAGTCCTTACCCAGGACCTGGGATAGGCAGATGTGGATGTTTGATGGTATTACAGATATCGTCGCAGGATGGAAGCAGTTCCTATTATTATTATTATTATTATTATTATTATTATTATTATTATTATTATTATTTTGGATCATCGCACAGTCAGCCAGATGTTCAGACTGGATTTAACATTTTGTCTACCTATCGAGTCCTTACCCAGGACCTGGGATAGGCAGATGTGGATTATTATTATTATTATTCTTAAAACAAAAAAACCCCACCCACTAAACATTCAGGCGGTTGTTGCTTGCTTTCATCCACCCTGAACCTGCTTTCCACAGGAGGTCATTGTCCCAGAGCTGAAGTGGAGACGGAGGTCCTCGGCGTCACTCTCCCTCACCCTCCCAGATTCTGGCTTCCAGTGTATCCACCGAACTTCGATCAGCAACCTCAGTGCTAAGGACAACTCCTGCAACTCGGAGGAGCCCCTGGCATCAGGTGGGGGGAATCAGGAAGGACTTTCTGGGATGGAGGGACAGCATCTTCCCGGGCTGGTCCAGAGGGTGCCGTGCTCCAAGGACATCAGTTGAGATGGAAGGAGGGGTTGAATTGCAACTAAAACCGTAGCTTGCAGGGTGAAATTACAACGTCCGAATAGTAACTGAGCTCTTTCAACAAACCCTTGGAGGAACGTTAGCATCTCTGGATTCTCCATCCTCCAGGCTGGTGTTCTGTGTGACCTGAGTTTCTCCCTATTTGCTTCTGTTTCAGAAAGTACAATAAACTCTGAGGAAGAAGAGGAGGAGGAGGAATTAGTAGTGGACCAAAGCGACAAAGCAGAATTGAGACCAGCTGATTATCAGCTGCTGAAAATCTTCATAGTGTTGTAAGTGCAAAGGATGAGCTTTCCCATTTTTTCCCCTGTGGCTTTCTGATTCCCGCTCAGGCTCAGATCTAAGGGGGGGGGGGTGTCTCTCTCTCTGGGGTCTTGATCCACAGAATCTGCCTTTTGGTGTTGTCCTCATCGTACTTGGCCTTCCGAATTTTCCGGCTGGAGCAGCAACTCTCCTCCTTGAACCAGGATTACTTTTCCCGAGTATCTCAAAGGTAAGAGGTGTTCCGAGGTTTCTCCGAAAGGGAAAAACAAACATTTATATTCAAATTTAGGTCCAAAAGGTGGAATACGAAACAGGAAATATGGCACACAGTAAAATGCATTGTGCTTTTAATTTTTCGTGAGACTAAAAATAAGATAGTATGGTGATAGACTACGAATTCAGGGGAAACAGTGAAAATAAACCAGGTTAAAAAAAACCCCAAGCTAAAGTTTTCTAGCGGCGATTATGTCTCTCCACTTGTACAAAACAGGGGTGGGTGACTTGCAATCTACACATCCCTTTATTGTGTTCCCTCGTTGCTGAAAGCAAAAAGTTTGCCCAACATTTTGAGGCCTATCACAGTTAAAAGACACACATACAACCCATACACTAGAAATCCCCCAGGCTGTCACTAAAAGCCAGCCCCATATGGAGGTCCTCCGAGTCAAGAATGTTTGTTGATCACCAGAAGGTGGCCCATCCATGGCCTTGAGTAAGAAAACCATTGGCTCTGGCAAGCTTCATTCAACATAGCATAGCTCTTGTGCTGATTTGCTCTCTTTGCTAAGACTAGAGGATCTTCTACATCTTTGCATGATGATGCAGAACGACCCTTTAAGTAATCAACTGGAGCCCCTTTCTGTTCTTCTGAGAGAGAGAGAGACAGAGAGAGAAAAAAGAAAGAAAGAAAGAAAGAAAGAGAAAGGAAGGAAGGAAAGAAAGAAAGAAAGAAAGAAAGAAAGAAAGAAAGAAAGAAAGAAAGAAAGAAAGAAAGAAAGAAAGAAAGAAATTCTTTATTGGCCAAGTGTGATTGGACACACAAGGAATTTGTCTCTGGTGCATAAGTTCCCAGCGTACATACAAACAACGAAGCAATAGGCCATATATCATAGGTCATACAGTAGTTGCCATCATTAATCATAAGATACAACAAGTGATAAATCATAAGATACTAATAGGAGAAGGTAGTAGGAAAAATGAGAAGATGAGAAGGATAATAGCAATACAGTCCTATTACATGAGTAAATATCTTTAGGCTGTGGGAATTAAGTGTTCAGCAGAGCGATGGTATAGAGCAGGGGTAGGCAACCTCGGCTCTTTTAAGACTCATGAACTTCAACTCCCAGAATTCCTGAGTCAGCTATGCTGACTCAATAATTCTGGGAGTTGAAGTCCATGAGTCATAAAAGCCGAGGTTGCCTACCCCTGGTATAGGGGAAAAAACTATCTTTGCGTCTAGTTGTTTTGGCATGCAATACCCTATAGCGGCATCCAGAGAGGAGAAGTTGAAACAGTTTATGTCCAGGATGTGAGGGGTCTGTAGATATTTTCCTTCTAGCTCTGTGCAGTGTACAGATCCTCAGTGGAAGGCAGGCTGGTTGCAATTGTTTTTTCTGCAGTTCTAAGTATCCATTGAAGTCTGTACCTGACCTGCTTGGTTGCTGTGCCAAACCAGTTACTGAGGTACAAATGACAGTCTCAATTATCACCCCTCAGGGTGCTTTCACACATGAATTCTACTCCAAAGCTTGCACGTAGATGACATTTCAGTGAAGAAGTTCTCGTTGTTTTCTCTGTAAGCAGCCTGGAGTGGCAAACGTGGACTTCTTTCTTTTGACAGATGATTGTAGCACAAGGAAGATTGGAGAAGATCAAACTTCACTTTAACTTGGGTCCAAGTAGGTAACGTGGCTGCTATGAAGATGGGGCAAGTGGTTCTCTCTCCATTCTTGTTGGACCAAAGCAGTGAGGAACACCTTAGGTGGTTCCTCGCCTCCAAGAACCCCGTCGGAGACTTCACACGTTGCATCAACTCTGCTAGAACATCTTCCAGGCTGTTAGGGATGCTTATGGCCATCGCCAAAAAGGTTCTGGCTAAGTTGGCCCAAGAGGGGCAAGTTCCAGGCCACAATATCAGAGGTGATCCTCCTCAGCTCTGACAAAGTTATGGGACTTAACTCTCAACAAGTGCCAGCAACGTTGGAGATTGCACTAGAGGACTTCTCCCAAGTCCTTCCTTGCACTTTGGAACAGCAGCGTTTAGAAGGCTGCGCTTGCCAGTGGACTTCGTGGCTCTTGGGACACCATCTCCAAGGGGCTCTTTGAGATGCCAGAGACATGGCTGGTTTCTCCTCTGGAGAGGGTTCCTCCAGGGCGCGGTTGGTGCCAGCATTCACGCCCTCTTTTCCTGTGGAAGGCGGGTGGCCGGATAGTTACTGCTCCTGCAATGAAAACACAGCCAGTCAATGAAGATGACTAGTCAATCATCTTTTACTAAGGATGAGTAGGAGTTTGGAGCTGTCCCGTCTCTGCCCTTTCACATCCCAGTATTCTGAGTTCTCCTTAGGACCAATCTTCTTGCACTAACGAGAGTCTTCTGACCCGGAGCAATGCCGCTGTGGCAATTTGCACCCCTGCTACCTTTCCAGAGCCAAAGTGACTTTTGAGTGGATGAGCCTCTCGGCTGCTAGGGAAGCCCTGCGTTCTTACGGACTGGAGCCATCCGCACGCGCAGAGCTGTTGGGTAGGCAGCCACATCAGGCTCTTGCCGGAAAAGTAACCGTAAAAGAAGCTTCTCGCTGACGGAGTTGGGAGCCCAAAATGCACTTCCCGTTGGTCTGCCTCCTTAAATAGAAACCGTAGCTTGGCTTTGATGGGCTACAAAAGCACGGGAGAGGAGCAGGGCAGAGAAGAGACAGCCCCACCAAGTAGACCAGACGGTGAAATCAACTTTACAGGATGATTACAATTATTTTGAGACTGGCTGTACTAATTATAATCCCCTCCCCCTTCTTCTAGTTCACTAGGGAGGTGTCTGTCTGAGCCACTTCCAGATGGTATCTGGATGAATGGATGGATGCCTGTCTCCATCAGGGTCATCTTCCTTCTCTGTACAGCCTCCGGTCAGCCGCAACCCAGCAACAGGGTGAGAAAACTTAGTTGTTCGGCCCCGGAAGACCTATTGGGGGCCAAGTGGGGGATTGGGCCAGGAAATTTCCATCAGGAAAAGGATCTGCTGGAGAGAAGCTGTGGGGTTGGAGCTGGAGACCAAAGTCACCTCTGAAGGGAGGGCCGGGTCTTCCGCTGAGCATCTCCTAGGAACGGATAGAGAGGGAGGGAAGTATTGAAGAGTAATGGACTCGGCACCAATGAGCAGATGGTCTCCTGACATAGAGCAAACCCCTCTATGGTCCTCCCAGTTTGTCCTACAGGGCTGCAGGAGGACCTGTGGGGGTTTATGGATGGGAGGCAAATGACACTCCTGTTGGCAGCTAGTTGGGTGTGAACAAAACATGGAAAAAGTGGGGCATTGATGGAAAGACGCTGCGGTGTCCCCCAGGGGGCTTCCGAGCAGCTGAAGGTCATTTCATCAGCATCACTGGAGAGAAGCAGCCATCACGGCTTCTCCTCCTTCCCAGGGACCAGCCGGGCTGCTGGACAGCTGTCGGTGTCTTCTTTAGCAATAAGGTCTCAGGTGTTTATGCAACTTCTTTTCACGAGAACCTCCCACCTTGTGGCTGGGAATGTGTAACACTGATTTATCGGTCTGTTTTTTTTGGGGGGGGGAGAAGCGCTGCTAGGACAAGGACCCTGTTTCATTGACCAGTGAGCGGGTTTGCAAGACCAAAAAAAAAAAAATCTATGGCCAGCAGGCAAAGACCGATCAGGTAAGGCTGGCAAGAAGGCAGAGTAATTAGGAAATGCTCACAAACCTAGGTTATGCCAAGGAGAGCTTTGCTGAGCCCGCTGTCCTTTGAAGGTGTTTGTGCATCTGGATGGGGAAAGAAATTTAGGTTGCCCCTTCGCTGCAGTTATTTTTTCTGTCGTGTTTGCAAGATTTAGCAGCTGTCAGGAGCTCAAAATCCAGTTTGCACTTGAGCTGTTTCCTTTCATTCTTTAACAACACCCGTCTATCCTACCGAAGATAATTACGGGAGGCACTTTGAATACAGTAGAAAGGCACGATATAAATGCACAGTATTGTTATTGTGAATGTCGTCGTTTTTATTTCTTTTCAAAAAATATTCAGGATAACTGCCTCAGGACATTTTGGGGGTGTTGTCCTCTACGAGACCTAGGCTAACTATGGCAGCAAGGGAAATACAAAGGACCAGCAAAAGCTTAGCAAAGCTTCAGACCGTTTTGCCATCCTGGGCTGCAGAATTGTGTAAAACGGATTCCCGTTTTCGGCTGAAAGGCCATCAGTTTGGGATGGCTACTGAAAGCGTAAAGCCAGAAGCCAATTTTTTAAAAAATCTGACACCTTAGATAAATTTGAGAACACCAATCCCAGTCACTATGAAAATCCAATTATTATTTTTTCTATGGTTACATTGTTGGTACTTATGAGTACTTCCCGTTTTGCCTAAAAAAAAAAATTATTTAAAATGTGAGAAACCATCATATGAACTATATTTAAGTTTAAATTAAAGTTAAGGTATCATTCTTTGGTGTATGATTCCTAACAGGTTGGTTTCTTTGGGTCCACAAGAGCCTGACTAAGGTGGAATTGAATGGCTGGGTTTATGTGTTGTGCGATGTTTTGAGTTGCTTTAACTGCGGTTTTTATAAGCAGAAAGACCTGAAGTCATACAACAACATACTGTAAAGACCAAAATAATTCAGTTAGGATTGTTGTAAGTCTAGGACAGGGGTGGGGAACCTTGGCTCTTTTATGACTCGTGGACTTCAACTCCCAGAATTCCTGAGCCAGCCATGCTGAGGGGAAAGGGAGAGGTTTCCAAGCTGAGCCATGCCGGCTCAGGAATTCTGGGAGTTGAAGTCCACGAGTCATAAAAGAGCCAAGGTTGCCTACCCCTGCTCTAGGACTACCTGTACTGAAGTTCATATCCTGAAATCTGGAGACCTGCAGTGTTATTGCAATCTTGCAGCTGGGGGAAAAATTACCTCTTTTCTAAATGCCAAAACCTCGTGAGATTGCCAAACCTTGGGAGCTGATAGTATTCTTTAAAATATTACTGTGTTTAATTCCGGAGGCCCACGGATGTCACCTGCTTGTATATGTGTGCCATGGTGCCCGCAACACTGACTTTCTGACTCTGGCTTAATGTGTGATCCTCGTTTTTAATCACAGTGTGAAGATAGCAATCCATCCTTGCAGGGAATGCAAACTCTTGGTCTTCTGTTGCTTTTAGGGAGGGCTAAGAAATAGGTGATGGCGGAAGGACACGTCCTTCCCCCACCCCCCAAAAAAAGAGCTGGAATTGAGAAAACTCGTTAAGCTTTTTGACCCAATGCATTTGCGGACCTCTTTCTTGAGCTCTCAGCTTTGTGTCAATTACATAATCTATACTGATGCCTCCCAAAATTGTCCATTTAGGTCAAGGGTAGGCAGCCTTGGCTCTTTTATGACTCGTGGACTTCAACTTCCAGAATTCCTGAGCCAGCCATGCTGAGGGGAAAGGGAGAGGTTTCCAAGCTGAGCCATGCTGGCTCAGGAATTCTGGGAGTTGAAGTCCACAAGTCATAAAAGAGCCAAAGTTGCCTACCCCTGGCCTAAGTCCTCCAGTTCTAAGCGTTGAGCCTCCTAGACCAGGGGTAGGCAACCTCAGCTCTTTTATGACTCATGGACTTCAACTCCTAGAATTCCTGAGCCAGCATGGCTCAGCTTGGAAACCTCTCCCTTTCCCCTCAGCGTGGCTGGCTCAGGAATTCTGGGAGTTGAAGTTCATAAGTCATAAAAGAGCCAAGGTTGCCTACCCCTGGCCTAGGTCATACATCTGAGTTTCTCAGCTGCCAATGGCCAGTCTGTGCAGATTCAGAACTCCGAAAAATGAAATCTCTTTCGTAAATGTCAACTTTGGGGTTTCGGTGGTGGCACCTGAGAGAGAGGGGAGGCGTGTGGGAAAGGCTGATGTCAGTCGCCAGGAACAATTCCAGCCCTCTTCTTTAGCGCCTGCTAGAACTTCAGCCCTGATAGGCAGATTAAAACATTAAAAATAATCTTTTTTTTAAAAAAATGGGAAGCTCGCTTGCTGCAGAAAAAACACTGTTCTCTGACACAATTTCCAAGAATAACTCGGAGCTTCGCAGAGCATCTAACGCCAGCGGAACCTTTCATGTTCTAAAAATACCTTGGGTGGATGGGGGGGGGTCTCTGCAGTGGTTATTTCCACACCCAGATTTCCTCAGTAGTTTCCCCCTTTCCGCATGCGATCACTGAGCCAAGAACTGCACTCCAACATTTGGGGAAAGCAGCTTTGATTCTGAACTCCACATTTGCCCAGAACATGTCAATGTCATCGACTCGTTATAAAATCATGGAGCAATCGCGTGTTTCTTTGGCCTTATTTGGCACACGATTGCAAATTGGAAAACCGCCATTCTGATGTTCCCTGTTCTGTTAAGGGAGGCTTAATCGGCTTAGCTTTCGCTAGAGGACTTGTGAGCCAGGCTTAATCGGTTTTTTCTTGCCCTCCCATTGGCTGAACAACTGGAGATTTCTCTGACCGAACAGCGCCACAATTTCTGATAGTCGGATTAGGGGACATCTGTTGTTCCAGATGATGAGTTGCCCTCTGTGCACACTCAGCTGCATTTGGCACATGCCAATACAGGCACCCATTGACCTCAGAACGGGGAAGGTCTTTTGATGTATTTCAGTTTAGAAAGAGACCCTAAGAGTGTCTCACATGTCCGTGTGTTATGTACTAAAACAGGGGTCTTCAAACTTGGCCCTTTTATGACTTGTGGGCTTCAACTCCCAGAATTCCTTAGCTAGGCACGCTGGCTGAGGAATTCTGGGAGTTGAAGTCCACAAGTCATAAAAGGGCCAGGTTTGAAGACCCCTGTACTAAAATCATTGTAGGAGGTCAGGACTACCCATAATCCTCTTTGTCTTAGGTCAGAAGTGTCCAACAACCTTGGCAACTTTAAGACCTATGGGCTTCAACTCCCAGAATTCCTCAGCCAGCATGGCTTAGGTGAATTCTGGAAAGTAATTCTCTCGAAATTCTCTTGCTGCCTTTTTTGCCATCAACCAAGATGTCTAGGGCAGTGATTCTCAACCTTTCTAATGCCGCAACCTACAACCGGTCGTAAGTCGAGGACTACTCAACTGGTCGTAAGTCGAGGACTACTCAACTGGTGCAGCACCATTTGCAGAATGGGACTTTTGGCGGGCTCAGCAGGGCAGAGACAGCCTGGACAATTCCTATTGGCTTTTGAAAGCCAATAGAATTAGACTCTATTCAAGAGAGTCTATTCTATTGGCTTTCAAAAGCCAATAGAATAAAAGGGAGTAGCACAGCTAAGGAAAAGGGGAAAAAAATGGCGGACTGCGTTGTTTGGCGACCCCCGTGAAATGGTCGTTCGACCCCAAATGGGGTCCCGACCCACAGGTTGAGAACCACTGGTCTAGGGGCTGTCCCCTTATCTAGCCCTCAGTTAAGTGGCACATGACACTTAATTGTTTTAAAATAAGGCATGACTCAATGCTTCAAGAATGATTCTGGAGACGTTTTGGTGACCTTGTCTGACCAGAACACTTTTCCATTATTCCTTAAAGTAGTCTTATTTTTTTTCCTCTCCTTCACTTCTGTCCTCACTTGTCACCTGATCAAATTTCTTAAAAAAAGGGTAGGATGGAGAAATAGTCTGAAAATTAGTTCAGAATAGGTGAAAGAAATGGAGAGCTTTTGTTTAGCTTGGGAATAAAAAGGGTGCAGTTCCCACTTGTGCACAGCAGAGGGCCCCAAAGTCCTTTGCTCACTTAAGGAAAGCCCATCCTTGCAATTGGACATCCTGCTTATCCTAACAGAAGCTTTTCATTTTTTTCTGCAGCTTGGAGTATTTGACAAGAGCAGCTGTCAGAGACCCCCATCATTTTAAAACAGGGATTTTGCCTTCCCTGTGAGCAGCTGGGATTGTGATTTAGACACTACACATTCCAGAATATGGTTGGTAGCTTCAAGTGCCTAGAAATGAGTGAAATCACAAACCAGCTGTTTTATCTTTTTTTGTTGTTGTTTCCTTCTGTTAGTCTTCCTGCAGATTGTGCACTGCTTTCCCATACAGATATTTCCTTTGCTTTGCAGACCCAGACACTAGACCAGTGGTTCTCAACCTGTGGGTCGGGACCCCATTTGGGGTCGAACGACCATTTCACGGGGGTCGCCAAACAACGCAGTCCGCCATTTCCCCCCCCCCTTTTCTTTAACTGTGCTACTCCCTTTTATTCTATTGGCTTTTGAAAGCCAATAGAATAGACTCTCTTGAATAGAGTCTAATTCTATTGGCTTTCAAAAGCCAATAGGAATTGTCCAGGCTGTCTCTGCCCTGCTGAGCCCGCCAAAAGTCCCATTCTGCAAACGGTGCTGTACCAGTTGAGTAGTCCTCGACTTACGACCGGTTGAGTAGTCCTCGGCTTACTATCGGTTGGGGGTCGCGGCATTGAAAAGGTTGAGAACCACTGCACTAGACTTAAATCAGTTGCTGTTGTTGCAGCCTTTTGCTATCCATTGGGAGAAACGCTCACAGTTCATTCAACAAAGGAGACATTATATATTTAATTCATGTTTTTGGCAGGGTGTGGAAGTGTCTAGGGAGCTTGCAACATATCTGTCTCCTACAAGAGCTGGCAACATCAATACTCTTCCTGTCTTGCTTCTTCAGAGTCCAACTTTGGATTCCATAGAGAAGTGATGGCGAACCTTTTAGAGACCGAGTGCCCCCAAAATGGCCCCGCCCTGCTCCACCCATTGCCCCACCCCCAACGCCACCTGCCCGCAGGGCCACTCACCGCTTCCAGGGCGCTATGGCGGTCACACCCTCTGCCCGTGCCCTGCAGCATCAACTGTGCACAATGGGGTGTGAGGGCAGAGTCTTGTCTATTGTGCTTAGCTGACATGTCCTTGGCTGCGCTGCTCCGTGTGGGCCACGTTCAGGGGCGACTTTCCTTCAGGGGGGCTGCTGTAGGGGAGGGGGTCGCTGGGGGAGGCAAGGCTCAGGCAACGGCACGTGTGCCCACAGAGAGGGCTCCGAGTGCCGCCTCTGGCCCCCCTGCCATAAGTTCGCCACCACTGCCATAGAGTATCAGAGGGACTACTATGATCTGCACATTTTTGATCTTTGCACATATAGGCACGTCAAAATCAACAGTAATCTAATGTATTTGTAGAACAAAAAAGCTGCCCTAGGACTAGGTGGAGTCTGGATTTCCTTTTCAGTTATGAGGTTTTTAGCTCCACTTTCCAGAATGGTGAGGTCATGTGCAATTTTCAGATTTTTCTGAAGGACAAATAGGATAAAATACACATATTTGAAATGTTGCCAAAAGAGTTCCCTCTCTTTCCTTTTCTGAATTCTCAAGGCAAAGTTTTGAGATTCTTTCTAAAGTTGCACCCTTCTCTGAGTAGGTGTTTGGCTTCCAACTGGCTTTTCTTGCAATGCAGGTGTGCTTTGAACATTCCAGGTTATCAAAGTGCGATACAAGGCTTCTAATGTTTACCTATTGGGGTTTAGCTATTCATTCAGAAAAAATGGAGCAGGCCGAAGGTTATGAATGGAATTTTTCAGCTTCTCGGATGAAAAATCTCTTCAGATCCACCTGGTGTAGGGTAAGACGTATCCACAAGAAAGGGTAATTGTACTGATGTGAAACTGGAAAAGCTTCAGAAGCTAACTGAATTGTCCCAATCTTAGAAAATATTTGTGGAAACCATTAACATTGAAACCTGTTTTTCACGCACACAACTTCCCATTTCATTTTTAGACAATTAAAAAGAATTAAGGGCATTTTCAACCACTGGCCTTTGAAGAGAAACTCTCTGCCCTTTATGTGAGTAGAGATTTTATCTGGGAACTTTGCATATAGCTGCAGAGCTAGGAGACATCTAGTGAGCTCCTTAACCACCCTGAGCTGACTCTTAAATATTCTAAGGCAGTGGTTCTCAATCTTTTTAATGCCGCGACTCCCAACTGGTCGTAAGTAGAGGACTACTCAACCGGTCGTAAGTTGAGGACTATTCAACTGGTGCAGCACCTTTTGCAGAATGGGACTTTTGGCGGGCTCAACAGGGCAGAGACAGCCTGGACAATTCCTATTGGCTTTTGAAAGCCAATAGAATTAGACTCTATTCAAGCGAGTCTATTCTATTGGCTTTCAAAAGCCAATAGAATAAAAGGGAGTAGCACAGTTAAGGAAAAGGAGGAAAAAAATGGCGGACTGCATTGTTTGGCGACCCCCGTGAAATGGTCATTCGAGCCCAAATGGGGTCCCGACCCACAGGTTGAGAACCACTGCTCTAGGGGGTAGAACAAAAGGCATCAGCATATGGAGACATTCTAGTTCTTGTTATGTACCTTTTACAATTGTGTGTTTTCTAGATCTCCAAGGCAAGTCTTGCTTCTGGTTTTGATTGTGGTGCAGGGAACTGGGACCATATTTCTGTACTGGTACTGCCAATTACCAACCCTGCATTCCTGCAGATGGTTACTCATTTTCCCTTCAGGTTTTCATAATTTTTCTGAGCAGTGTTTGCTTTGTCTAAGAAAACATCCCGTAAAGTTCTTACTAACAAGGTGATTCATTCCTGGCTATAATTACAGCTGAATTCTGCTGCCATTCCCTTTTCCTACTGAAGCTTATTTGCAAAATGGTTATTTATCCTGCCTTTCAAGAGGACAAACCAAATACTCCTGCCCGTTTTTCCCCACAAACACAACTCTTGTCAAGTGGGCTGCGCTGAGAGAGGGACTGACCCAAGGAAAGCCCACCTGCTTAATCCATTAACAGCCTTCCCACTCTTCGTCATCATCCCGGGTGCATTTGGACGCTGACTTCCAGAACTCGTAGGGAACTGGTAATAAATGACAGACACACACAGCAATGATAGTGGGAGGACTTGGAGGGGTGGTCGCACACTGACTTTATCTTTTTAAGGAGTAGCTTTGTGTGTATGTGTGTGCATATGTGTGGAGCTTAAGGGATGCTGCAGTCGTCACTTGCCTAATTTCGTTTTGCACGCAAGCAGCATCCTATCTTTTCTTTGGCTCCTTCAGGTCTGTCTCCACTTCAGATACGAATCACAGCCTCTTGGTCCCTTGTCACAGAAAGACTACAGGCCTCCCTGTGTTTTGGGGGAGAATTCCTGTTGCTCCACCTGCTGAGATGGGAAGGACAGTTGGCCATTTAGGAAAATCAGTGTAAAGGGGGAGGGGAGGGGGGGGAAATGGGTGGAAGGTCTTAGAATCCCTTGAATGGCATCTTCACTGTTTGTCTTTCTCTACCTGGTGACGCCCTTGGCACCTGAAGCTGTTTGCTTTTCTCTGTACCTAAAGAAAGTTGCTGCATTTGGACTCCTGCGCTAAGCCTTTCAAGCACGTGAGATCACAACTGCACCCGGGTCAATCTGCTAGCTAGGAGCTCCTATGGTGCCTGCTTAGAACTAAAGGACTTCTAGATCAGTGTTTCTCAACCTTGACAATTTTAAGGCATGTGGACTTCAACTACCAGAATTCCACAGCCAGCAATGCTGGCTGTGGAATTCTGGGAGTTGAAGTCCACATGCCTTAAAATTGTCAAGGTTGAGAAACACTGTTCTAGATCAATAGGCCCAGAAATGTCGGAGACGCCTTTTTAGGCAACTGGTGCAAAAGGGCACTCACTTAAGAGGACTCCCAAAGGTGCTTTTTCAAAAGGCAACTGGACTTCCACTGTTTTTCCCTGAAGACATTTCGCTTCTCGTCCAAAAAGCTTCTCCAGTTTATCTGAACTGAAGAAGATTCTTGGATGAGAAGCAAAACGTCTTCAAGGAAAAACAGAAAAAGTCCCCAATGCCTCTTGGAAAAAGCACCAGGACCTGGAAGACTGACAATCTCCACAGACATTTAGAGGAGTACATTTCCCTCAATGCAGCCTAGAGAGGCAAAAACACTTCCAGTGATGCAACAATGATCCAAATGGCGCTCCGTTGATCATTCCTTGTGTGTCTCTGCTCTTCCTGTCCTCGGTGGATGTGAAGGTGCTCAATAGTTGGGGCAGAAATTGAAATAAAAGAACCTGTGTAGGGCCTCAGTTACTTCTCGAAACTTCCCTTAATACCATGCTCTTTTATTCTGAATTCTCTGTTTACAGATGTAGGAATGCCAAGACCTTTTTTTCCCCCTACCATCATGGTGTAACAGTTGAAATTTCATGCTGCTGCAGCATAAAGAAATGGTCAATCTAGTACAGTGGTTCTCAACCTTTTTAATGCCGCGACCCCCAACCGGTCGTAAGTCAAGGACTACTCCACCGGTCGTAAGTCGAGGACTACTCAACTGATGCAGCGCCGTTTGCAGAATGGGACTTTTAGCGGGCTCAGCAGGGCAAAGACAGCCTGGACAATTCCTATTGGCTTTGGAAAGCCAATAGAATTAGACTCTATTCAAGAGAGTCTATTCTATTGGCTTTCAAAAGCCAATAGAATAAAAGGGAGTAGCACAGCTAAGGAAAAGGGGAAAAAAATGGCGGACCGCGTTGTTTGGCGATCCCCGTGAAATGGTCGTTCGACCCCAAATGGGGTCCCGACCCACAGGTTGAGAACCCCTGCTCTAGTAATTATGATGGGTTGACTTTAAGGTGAAAGTTGTTGCTAAAAATACCCAAATGGAAGGCATCAGTGATGGCGAACCTTTTAGAGACCGAGTGCCCAAACTGCAACCCAAAACCCACTTATGCATCGTTGGGTGCCGGGTGGGTGTGGCCCTTTGGGTAGGCGTGGCTGCGGTGATAACAGCAGATTGGCTGGGACTAAAAAGTTCAATCAATCAATTCCAACTTTGCAAGATCTTTTTTTTTCCTGCGAGAAGTTGAAATTGACTGATTGAACCTTTTTTTATATACACGGAGGAGGTCTACAGCGAAAAGGTTTTATAAAACCCAGCTGAAGGCCTAGGACTGGGGCGACGGTGCGCGTGCCCACAGACAGGGCTCTGAATGCCGCCTCTGGCACCCGTGCCATAGGTTCGCCACCACTGCCCTAGGTTTTAACAGGAGTTTGCTATTAAAGTCTTCCCATTTTCGTGTCATTTGGGGGAAGAGAGAATGAAGGAGACCTCCAAGGTGCTTCTGATGCTCTCCTAGATTTCCATGATTGAATTAAGGAGCTGCATCAAAATTCTCTGAAGGCATCCTTGATTTGAATGAGCTATAACTGCGCTCTAACAATCCATCAGGGTCTGCAGAAGCTTAGTCATCTTCCAGAAAATATCTCTAGAATCAAGTGGCTTGTTTCCCTCTCTTCTAGCTGGATATGGATTGCACAATTCAGCAATTGTATGGAAACAAAAACAGACTGCCACTGAGCATCACTTTTCAGATTTTCAAGTTTACTTCTTAATTTTTGACTGGAGATTTCCCCAAACATAATGCAATTATGCAAATAAGAGAAATTACAAAATGCTTCTGCCCAACAATTTCAACATCCAGTAAAACAATTGAACTTGTTACTTAAATCCTGTTGAAGATGCTCCTTGTGCAGCATTTTAAAAGGATTTTTTTTTTTGCTGAGGCAGCATCTATCATGAATCAATAAAACAGGATTTAATGGGGGAGGGGGGATGGACATAATATAGGCTTTACGGCTATACCACCTGGCTTGGTATGTTACCAAACAAGATAGGTTACTATTTTTCAGCCCAGCCAAATATTCAGCAGAAGGAAGAAAGCAAATCTTCATCACACAACCAGGGAAGAATCTCCGTCATGACTCTACCTTCACTCCAAATCCCAGATATTGTTCGGCAATTAAAAAGGAAGAAGACTTGAGAAATAAGTAAGCACTAATTCCCTGCTTGGTTGGCTATTACAAATTCTCTCCCAACGTGTTGTTGAATCTCTGCAGCAAAGCCACCAGCACACCAGCCAGTTGTCTGCATTTGCAATTCTCAAGGAATGTGAGTCAACTCCAGCTCTTCATTGCACAAAACACTCGAGTCCTCCTGCCTTTACAAGTATATAATCAGAGATCCTAGGGTGCCATGTTAGGTAACGGAATTAAACCTGACTTCGCTCCAGCTGAATACAATTTAGGGAAATCGATTCAGTGCACTATTAAGGCACTCTCCAGGTCAAAGTGCTCAAAGTGATGTGCAGAAATTCCAGTTTCTGTAAAGATCTATATAGATATATTGAAGGGAAAATTCCTTTTTCTCTAACAGTTTCATCATACCATTCATTCAGTACAGCACCTTAAAAAATCCTTACTGTGTTAAACAACCAGGAGGCTGAGATGGAGCTAGAAATAAGAGGAGCTGATTCTCTTGCTTTCAAGGCTACGGTACTGTACAGCAATTTGGCTTCCTCCCACTACAGTAAAGCACATAGTTACTGGAGGCAATAAGTTCACACAATAAGTAGCTTTCCCCCACTTCCTTTTCGGAAAAGCAGGAATATGGGATCTCTCCTTCGTAGTCCCAAGACAAGCTTTGGATACAAGTGATAACAGTAATTTTGCAGCAGCACAATCATCTGATCTCAATTCCCAGATATTCAGGGATGCTTACAAAAGAGACACTGAAAGCTGCCATAATTACACAGAGGCATATCGTGTGTCTGCCACTGACATCACTAAAATTGGATCACTCACACATGCACACACAAGCATACAAAGAACTTGAGCGATGCGGGGATTTGGGAAGATAAAGAGGTTAGGCTAAGCAGCAGCTGTTCCAAACTGTAGGGAAGATGGCGTAGCTACTTCCCAGGGATTAGCACCACAGAATAGTGCAGTGCAGAAGTGCAAAGATGAGTACATTCTTTCTGGGGGGGGGGGAATCTTGTGCACAAGTCCTCCTCTTAGGCACAGAGAACAAGATTTTTTTTTTTTAAAAAAAGGACCAATATCTGGAAAGTCACAGGTCACTTCTTGGAGAGCATAGTAATGATTTTTTTCCAGTCTTCTCTCTTGCCTGTGATGTACGAAGGAGTCAAGAGCTGAAGCACCGGTTCCTGCTGCTCTTGGAGGAGGAACTCTCGGCACAGGGCCTCAGTGTTGCAGATCACATACATCCCACAGTCATAGCTGTTCTGCTGCGCTGGGGCCTTCTCTTCTACAAAGGCAACTTTGCCCCTCTTGCCAAGAAAGGACTGCAGATTCCTTGCAACCTGCTTGGCATGCGCAGAGTTACACCTGCTGTGGGAGTCATAGTGAGCAAAGCAGTCCTTGTCTTGGAAATACACTAGCAAGCTCCAGTGGGTGCCCCCAGCTGCTTGGCTGGAGTTGTCGTTGATAGCCAGGAACACAATTTTCTTGTGCAACAGGTCCAGGGGCTCAAGGAACAGGGCCAGTTCCTCCTGGTTGGTGGTGCATTTGATGAACTGAGCCACCTCCGGGCCCACGAAGCAGGCCTGGTCGGAGAAGTCTCGGAACTGGTCGTTGGCGAAATACTCAAAGGCAAAGCCAATGATGTGGTCGTTAAGCCAGCAGGGAGGGTCTAATAAAGAAATGTCCGATTGTCTCAGCAAACTGTCCATGTAACTCAGGACAACAGGGTCCATTCTGTGCAAGCAGGGCTACACCTGCTGGAGAAAGCCCAAAGCCTAAAATAAACAAGAGATGAAAAAAGAAATTTACACACGAAATGTGGTGAAGTGCTCCTGCATCTGAACCGTTGAATGAAAACTACTAAATGTGAAAACTAGAGAACGTACTAAGATTTGATTTGCAAAGTGGGAGCATGGCAGTTGATTAGATGTTAACTGGATTTTAAAATAGTTTCCTAGCTCACGCTATTAGGAAAATAAACGGACTCTTCCTTCAGTCTCCCTTTTATTCAGAGGCAAAATTGTGTATTTTTCAGCCTGATCGGATTCTTGTTTATTTAGAAGTCGCTGCCACAAAAACTTTCTTGAGGAATTAAAAAACTGACTGCAGCCTTGAAGTTATTTGATGTTCTGCTTCTGTAAATACTTCTGTATATCACTAGGCTCTGATTCAGCCTTTTGAAAGTGGACAACTGACAGCCCTGTCCCCTGGGCATGACTCAGAGAAAACCGGAGAACACCCATTCATTACAACAGGAAAGAAGCTGCATGTGCTGATTTATTTACTCATTAGGAAGGAATGGGAAGCTTTCCTGCATGCAATTAAAAGACAAAGGAAATTCACTGATGACCTGTATGTATCCTTAATCATTTAAGATCTTCAAAGGCAATAACTAAACAACTGCCTTTTGAAACAAGGAGAATTAAGAGTGACATGCATGAAGGATCGATATAGTAGATCTTCTATAGTGCAGGGATCTCCAAACTTGGCAACTTGTGGACTTCCACCATGCTGGTTGAGAAATTCTGGGATTTGAAGTCCACAGGTCTTAAAAGGTGGCAAGTTTGGAAACCCCTGCTATAATGAACCGGTTTTTGAGTTGTTTTTTTTTAAAAAAAAAAATGCATCCAGAGCTTCCCACTCTTCCAAAGCAAATATCGTATGGATTAAGACACATAATGCTGATCACCATAACAGGAATAATAAAATGGAACAGGAGCATCTATGGTTAACCTGAGTCAACAATCTGGACTTGTACAGATTAATAGCTACACAATGGGTGCTGCATCCTTCTCTTTGCTTAGCCTTCATCTCTCAGTAAGAACAACGTGGTGGTTTTCAGCATTGTCCCACAGCAAGAAATTGTTCATTTCCTGGCTGCATTTATTTTCTTCCCAATAGCCAAGTATTGCTCATTTTATCCATTAGCTGTTACTTGAAACCTCTTGACAGTGACTCACCAAATAAATTCTATATCTAAAGGAAATCTTTTTCAGATACCAACTCATTTTCTTGGAAGCTACAACAAAGCACTTTTAAGTATACTATACAAAGAAAAAAAATAGAACCTGCAATTATGAAGGGATAGGCATACAGGAACCTTTTTTTAGGTCAAGTAACTTTCCAGCGGTAGAAAAAAAATAGAAAAATAGCCTTGAAAATTGTAGAGTAAGAAGAAAACTTTTCTGCAATCTCCAATCTCATGGACACATCCATATAGCTTTTTTGGGTAAAGATACGGCAGTCGTTTCCACTGCTGCTTTCTGAATTGCTTTTGAACGTACATTTCCTAGTGGTGTCTCATCCAAGTATTAACTGAGTTGAATCTGGTTTAGCTTTTCCAAGATTAGCCAAGTCTAGCTAGGTGCTACCATCTAGCCAGGTTGCATAAGAAAAGCTGTGATGACTATTAGCTCTTAGAGTTGGGATTTCCCTGCAGGCTTTCTAGCTACTACAGGTGAACAAAACAATCAACTTGAATTAGATGAACTGAAGCTTACGATTGTCTGGGGTCTCCTAATACCATACATCACATGCAGCTTGTTTCACTTTTGTTTTAGAATAATGTGCACGAATCCAGTTGCCCGTTTGACTGCATTTATACACTGACTTACTCAACCAAGCAAACGTTTTTATAAATCTAAGGCCTTGCACTATGTGTGAACCCAGTCATGCAATTATTTGTTATTTTGCAAAATAAAGGGCTTGTTTCCACTGAAGAGGCCTTGAAGCATCAGAAATAGGACCCAGATTGTTGGGGGCAATGTAAATATATATATATATATATATATATATATATATATATATATATATATATATACATATACACACACATTGCTTACTGGTGTACACCGCTTAGAGAGTGCTTGCACTTAAAGCGGTATATAAGTCTCATAAACAAACAAATAAATAAATAAATAAATAGTATCCCTGCCTCGGCCAAAGATGAAATCTGCAGAGCCAAAGCCTCTGAAGTATAAATACAGCTTTTGAGGAGGAGAAGGAGGAGGGAAATGCCACTATGGCAGGGGTGAGCAACCTTGGCTCTTTTATGACTCGTGGACTTCAACTCCCAGAATTCCTGAGCCAGCCTGGCTCAGCTTGGAAACCTCTCCCTTTCCCCTCAGCATGGCTGGCTCAGGAATTCTGGGAGTTGAAGTCCACGAGTCATAAAAGAGCCCAGGTTGCCTACCCCTGCACTATGGAATACCCTGTGTAGTACAGGGGAGTGTGTGTGTGTATGGGTAGTCCTCAACGTACGACCACGACTGAGCCCAAAATGTATATTGCTAAGTGAGACATTTGTTAAGTGGGTTTTGCCCCATTTTACAACCTTCCATGTAGTTGTTAAGGCAATCTGGCTTCCCCATGACTTTGCTTGCCAGAAGGTCGCAAAAGGGTTGATCACATGACCCCGGGACACGGCGACCGTCATAAATATGAGTCTGTTGCCAAGCGGCTGACTTTTGATCACGTGACCAACGGGAATGCTGCAAAGGGTCGTAAGTGTGACAAACGGTCCCAGGTCACTTTTTTTCAGGGCTGTTGTAACTTTGGTCACTAAATGAGCTGTTGTTAAATCGAGGACCACCCAGCAGCAAAAGGCAACCACTCCTGTGGCCTGACACCGCAGAACGAGCAGAGCTGGAAGGGGCCTTCGAGGTCCTCTAGTCCAGGGCTTTTCAACCTTTTCACCCACTGTACCACTTTTAGGATATGGCAACATCCGCGTGCCACCAGTCGCCTAGCAAGGGGTCAAAAACTTGATGACCCCCCCAAAAAAGTGATAAAGTACAGGTAGTCCTCGACTTACAACAGTTCACTTAGTGACGGTTTGAAGTTACAATGGCACTGAAAAAAGTGCCCCCCCCCAGCCACAGCCGAGCAAGACACCTGCCTGCCCGCCCGGCGGCGCTCTTCCTCCTTTCTGAGGTTTTCATTGTTGTGAACATATCTGTTGAGGATTGGCAGCAGGGGTGGGGGAGGGTGTTTGCTTTTTATTCCCCCCCCCCCCGTCTGCTGGGTGGTTGCAGCAGGTTTGGTCACTTCACATGACCCTGGGACACTGTGACCGTCATAAGTATGAATCAGTTGCCAGGCATCTGAATGTAAATCACAAGACCCTGGAGATGCTGCAACATTCCAGCTGATTGGCGCTTCTTCTGGGCTCAGCAGAAGCGCCAGGATCAGTGCTGCTTTCCAGCTGATTGGTGCTTCTTCAGGGCTCAGCAGAAGCTCCAGGATCAGCGCCGAGCTGCAGCTGGAGCCTGGTGCTGATCCTGGTGCTTCCGCTGAGCTCTGAGAGCCCTGCAGCTCCAGCCATCTCTCGCTCAGGCTTGTGCGGTGCTGCCACCGGTTCAGCTCATTCCCCTCCCCTGCTACCCCTTTTCTAGGATGCTCGCGTACCCCCTGCCAGGTGCCAATGGACCCCAGGTGGGACCCGTATCGCTGGTGGAAAAGCCCTGCTCTAGTCCAACCCTCCTGCCCAACTATGGCGTTTCAGCCAAGCCTTTCCTTGCGCCCCCATTTCGGGAGGGGGGCCTCCAGGATCCGTTTGGCTCGTCCCGCCTTTCCTCTTTGTTCCGAGAGGATTTTGTCCCGGCACAGAACACGGAGCATCTCCTGAGCGAATCCCTCGGGACGAGAGGAATGACTGGCGGGACGGGGAAAAGGCGCCAGGCTTCCACCCACCCGGGAGGGCGGCGCGGAGGAGGGCGACGCCAGCAGAGAGGCGGATCCGGCCGCAGCGACGCTCGGGCTCCTCTCCGCCGGCCTTTCCGCTCGTTCCAGCCGGATCCCGCTCGGAGGAATCTCCCTCACGGGGCGCCTTACCTGCCGCCGGGCCTCCTCGCGCGCCTCGCCTCCCTCAGCCGGGGGTTGCCCGGGCCGGCCGCCAAGCACCGCCGAGCCGAGCGTCGTAAAAGGAAGCAGGGGGAAAAAAAAAAAAAAAGACGCCGCTTTCGTTCTCTCGGCCTCCACCCCTCCCATCCCGCGCTACGCCACTCGCGTAAAGGACCGTCGGGAATCGCGGCCGTGACGCTGAGCGCGCGCTCCTGCCTTTTTTTTTCCCCCGCCAAAAAAGGAAGCGTGGGCGGGGCTTGGCTTGGAGCGCCGCGGCCGGAGGAGACCTCCCGCCTCTCGCTGCGGCCGCTGCTGCTGCGCGAGGACGCGCGTCACGTCAGCTCGAGGCGCGGGGCGGGGCAGGGAGAAGAGGAGGAGGAGGAGAGGGGGCGGGGCCCGGCTTGGTGAGGGGGGGGGAGACGGGCGGGCGGTGCATGCGCGTGCACGTCCGCGCGCGCGCGCGCGGCAGCGAGAGGCGGAGGCTGCTGAGGCGGCTGAGGGGCGAGGCGCGGCGGCGGCGGCGGCGGCGTTTCCTCCCCACCGAAGCGGGGAGGAGGCGGGTGGCCGTCGCGGTGGCGGTGCTGCCCTCGCTGGCCCGAGTCAAGGGAAGCGAGCGCGGCGGGCGGACCCGCAGGTGAGCCTCGCCCGCTGCCCGGCCCTCCCCCCCCCACCCCCGAAGGCTGCCCGCTTTCCCCTCAGCGGACGGGCGAGCGAACAGGCGGGCGCTCCCCTCCGCCGCCCCGCGGCACCTGCGGCTCCCCGGGGCAGCCCCAGCGACGCCTCTCCGCTTCCTCCGGGATGGAGGGAGGGAGGGAGGCGAGGCGGGGGCAGCGGGGCCGCCGCCGAGATCCGGACGGGAGGGATGCGCGGGGGGGGGAGGGGAGGGGAGGGGGGGGCAGATCTGCCCCACGGACCCCCCCCCTCCCACGCGGGCCGGGGAAGCGGGGACCCGGCGGCTCCCGGCGCCTGCAAGGGCCGGCCGGGCGCGGGGAGGCTTCATTCATTCGAGGCGGCTCCGGATTGCGAGCCGGCGCGCTGGATCCTGTCCTGGGGGAGCCCCCTCCCCTCCCCGTGGCTCGGCCGCAAAAGGCTTCTGGAAGAGACCCCCTCCTCGCCCACCCCCTTCCCTGCATCCCTTCCTCTGCCTGCCTTGCAAGGTCAGGGAGCCCCCACTGTCCTGCCCCCCCGTCCCTCCCTCCCTCCCTCCCTCCCCGCGAATGTTATACAGGAGATTATCCATTTTTGGAGTGTTCCTTCTCAGCCCCGGTTTCCCCCCCCCGCAAAAAAAGCAAAAAAGGGGGGGTTGGGGAGAGAGAGAGAGAGAGGATGGTTGTGCTGTTGCATTGCGTGGTGTGCGAGGTTGAAATCTGGGCTGCAGCAGCTGCATTGTGATTTTCCCGATGGGAAAAAAAAATCCCAAGCTGTGCTAGAGGGGAGAAATAAGCCCCCCCCCAATCCTTTCTTCTCCTAAGGAGGTTTAGAGGTATTTATATATATATAAAAAAATCCAATGAGAAAAAAAAGAAATGGGATCCGCTCTGCATCCTTAACAGGCTCTTCCTGTGTAAAAACTTTCTAATGGCAATATTTGTTTATCTGTGCTGCTGTATTTACTAGATAAACCACAAAAGGAAGCTTTCCCCCCCCCCTTTTCCATTTTGATTTGGGAACCGAATTTGGGGCAACAACAGCAGCATTTGGTTAGGATTTTGTGTCTGTCGGGCTCAGGCCTTCAGTATGGCAGGAATGCTGCAGTCGAATCAAACTGATATTGCTGCTAAACGTGGTTGCCTGCCTGCATTAACGTTAATGAAAATACTCAGTTTGCTGTGGTTGTTTTCTTCAAGGGTGCTTCTAAAGACATGACATGACACTGCCTGGACGGCACACCCGTTCTCAACTGTTGCTGTGGAATAAAACTCCGGTGACTGTGATTGTTGATGGCTGTGGGTCCCGCTGGCTGAGAGCGGTGAGAGCTTGTAGGAAAGCATACTTGGAGGGTGCCGGTTTGGCAGTAGCTAATGCAGAGCTTGCCGTGGCTTTTGTGAATTCAGTCTCTAAATCCATCAGTCTTTGCCTTAATCTTCAGGATGGGAAAAGAAGCATAATCTTCTTGCTTCCTCCATGTGTCACATGGAATATTTATTTAAAATGTATTTTAAAACTGGGTTTTCCAGTGCTGTAGAATTTAAACATATTTATATCTTTAGCAGTATTAACAAAAATGATTGGCAGCCTCTAAGTTCACTTGCAGCCAGTTTCTCTCCCCCCCCCCTTGTCCTGCTTTTTAATGCTTGCAGTGTCTGTGCTCTACTTTTCTTGCACTGAGTGAATTATTTTCCTTGAATCTCTTTTTCATTTTTAAGGAGCCTTACAGTTCGGCTGTTCAGATTTATCATAACGCAAATGAACTAGTGACAAAGAGGGAGGAAAAAGAAATAATAGCACAGCAGTGTGGGCTGTATTAGGTGGACATTCTTCCTTTTCTCCATCCTCCAGTGGAGGATGAATGCAGTATTTTGAAAAACTTGGAAGGGATTTCACAAAGGTGAATTGGGCATTCGATGCAGGATTATATGAATAAAACCTCATATTTTTCTTTTTAGGTATTTGTGCAGATTTGTGCAAAATACGTTTGGCTAGTATGTGGCTCAGTGTGTATTGGACTCAGGCAGGGTGTGATTTTTTTGATTTTAAATGTGCATGAATTCAGCCATTTGAATAAAGTAAGTGAATAATGAGTTAGCATTAATGATTACTGTAGTGTCAAACTCACTATAATGAATACATTACACGTTCATTAATTTTTTTCCGGAAAATGGTGCCAACTTCTTTAAAACTATATCTTCTGGATCTCATATACTAATAGTAATTTTATTTCATTTACTGTGTGTTTTTATAAGACACATTTTTGGAGTCCTGGCATCAAAAATGTACATAAAAAAGTAATGAAATAATAGAACATTAGGAAGATTTTGTGAGTATTGAAGAGATACAACAAACTAATGTATTAGAAAGCTGCATTCATTTAAAAATCATCAGTTCTCTTAAGGAAATGCAGTAATCATAATGCTCTATTCAAGTTCTCTCTTGAAATTGCTGTGGTAAAAGAAAGACAGTCTCAATTTGAACTTGATTTCTGCTGATTACATACTGATAACAATGTAGGTTTTTGGCAACAGTATGGAAACTTTTTGTCCTTGTTGCTTTCTGCAATTTTTTTTTTTTTAATTTTCAGATTAGCCTATAGGTCTGGGATTTCCCCTTGGCTTCTCATCCAGGTACTTTCAACCTAATTAGCTTTTTTGAGGGGAGCCTGATGCAGCTACATGTGGTATCTGAAGGGGTCTTATTGACTGAGTGAGCAATCCATGTTTATTAATATTTCACCAGTACATTTTTTCTATAAACATTTGATTATTATTTATTATGCACAGATGTTTATCAGGCAAAACATTTTTATTAAAAAAAATTCTCAGCATCAGAAATAAAGTTCTGCTCAAAAAGTCATTGATTCATTTAGGTAACTAAACCTCTGATCTTCTGCTGTATTAAAGATACAGAATTAGGAATCATAATGAAGCCGCTTTCTTGTGTGGCTGATACTGCTTATCAAAAGACCCACTTAAATTCACAAGGTAATTTTGCTATAGGAATGAATGTTCCAGACATATATTCTATCTTTTAATGCATCATTAATACAAATGAAACTTTTTTAAAAAAAAAAATCTGGAAATGTTTTAACATTATAAACAAGTATTTTTACTTGGTTCCAAAAGAAGATGCTTTACATAATTTCTAAAGTAGTCCTCATTTACAGAAATATTTCAATATTTTAGTAGCACTTGGAGAAAGTAGAGGGAAGAAAAAGCCTTTACTTTGTAAACACTCCATAGTGAGCCAACATTTTTTTTTAAAAAAAAGCTCAGTGATTAAAAAATTTGACTTTGAAACTTTGTGTTTTCTTGCTTTCATTTTTGTTTATTTTTAAACGGTGTTATGCCTCAGCCACAATCACTTTTGCCCACTAGTTAGCTGATGTTTAGTTAAAATGTGATGAGAACTAATTGGAACTTGGACCTGCTGTTTTAATCATGGGGTGATGAATGTTGGACTTCTCTGCAGATTCAGAAATGGGAAGTTGCTAAAATTCATGCTCTGGGATTGCCTTCATGAGGCTTATGACCCCAAGTGCCCTTGTCCTTACGCATGTGATCAGCTTGCTTCCATGAATGTTGAAGCAGTGGGAGCATTCCCCTTGCGTTCCAGGAGACTAGTTATAAGTAGGATTCATAGCTCTTCCCCTAGCAATACAATTAAAAGAGTTTTAAATGCAACATAGCTGTCTGAATGAAGTTGCTTTCACCAGCTGTTGGATGCTGCATAAAGAAGCTGCTATAGAAGGTCTAATAAGACATACCTGCTTCATCCAGGTTCCAGTGAAGGTAATGATCAGAGCAGCCATCCGTTTCCATCTACTGACTGAGTCAGAATCTTGAGCGAAAGAGTTCCTAAGTGGATCTTATGGGGTTTTTTTTCTTGCCCGCTCCTTCAGCTAATGCTGCTTCCCAACCTGTATATATCAGTCACAATTCTGTTTCCTGAGTATCTCACCTGTTTTTGTGTGTAGCTAGTTCTGTTCTGCTGTCGTTTGCAGACACGGAATCTAATGTCCCTCTTAGTACTTACCCCTTTCAGTTTCTGCAGGCTTTTGTTTTGATGTGCTGTTTTCCACATTATCAAGTAGACTTGGCAATGTTCCCATGGAGAACTAAGTTGGAAAAGAAGGTTCTATGAGATTGGTCATCTCAATGGATTTTTCAGAGAATATCTGTAAGCTAGGATCCCAGTTTCCTGGCAGCTTTCACTCATGTACCTTTATTTCAGAAATCGTTAGAATAATCAGTTTAATTCAATGTACTTTTTTGCCTCTGTCTAAACCAGAAATTGTTTTGAGCTGCAGAGCTGCAGAAAGAAAATAATTATTTGGAAAGAGATCATAATCCTTTCTGACCACAAATAGTTAAATACTGCATAAATTATAGGAAGGCAACTTGCTGGGATAGATCTAGTTTGGTTAAAATAATAATAATGACCAGTGTTGATCAGAAGTTTCTATCTCCAAACAACACAATTAATTAATAGTGTCCAAGATAACCTAAGTTGTGGTTACAAGCCCTAAGGAGTATGATTCAAAGTACGGTGGATTTTAAACTGTCCTTTTCAGTATCACAGCCGTTTGTATTTATTGGAGGTGTGCCATAGAACTTGTGTGAAGTAGTAGATTACATAATCATGGAAGAATGCAGTCCCATTACTGTTGGAAAACTTCTACTATAACATGCAGCATCACTTGAACTGCAGTATTTGTTTTGTTATTTTCATCAGCTAATTTATTTTGCATTCGAGTGCCCTATCACAGATTCCCATTTGAGGGAAGAGCTTGATGCAGCAATATTTTTTTACAGGGACAGAGTTTTTGATCTTTATATCAGCACAGTATACAATGGGTCATAGAATTAATCAAAATTCAAACTGCAGTAATCAACTTTGGTTCTCCAGTCAGTGAAGAACTAAGCTGCCCCAAAAGTTCCTCAGCATCAGTTCTTGGACTAAATAAAATACGAATGGGAG